TACGGAACTGTAATAGTTTGGAAGAATAAAGAAGAGAAAGAATGGATTTACCCAGGCAGGAAGAACAATAGAATGAGCCAAGTATTAAACCTCATCATTTCTTTATTTGATAAATCTTATTCAAGCTGATTTCTAAAACTGTTTACAGCTTTTAAGTTTTTGTGGTTCTAGGCACAAGCATTCAGTGGGTATTGTGTTCAACTAAAGGGTTCTTATTGGAAATGGTCCAAGAGTTACAGTTACGTGGGTAGAGTTAGCTGCCATTGAATTGGCCCCAACTCATGACAACCTTATGCACAATGGACTAAACTATGCCCAGTCCTATACCACACCATCCTCATGATTGGTTGAGGATTGGACAATATTCTGTTGTGACCCATAGGGTTTTTATAGGATGATTTTTGGAAGTGGAACACCAGGCCTTTCCTCCTAGTCCATCTTAGTCTGGAAGGTCCACTGAAACCTGTTCAGCATCACAGAGACAAGTGGTGGCTGTACATGAGGTGCACTGTCTGGGAATTGCACCCAAGTCTCCTGGATGAAGGCAAGATTTCTACCATTGAACCACCAATGCCTCATGTGGGCAGGGTGTTGTTATAGGTGTTAGGTGTTGATTTGGACTCATAGCAACCCTACTCAGGTGATAGAGCAGAACTGCCCCACAGGGCATTCTAGGCTGTAATCTTTGCAGGAGCAGATGGCCAGGTCTTTCTCTTGAAGAGCCACTGGGTTGGTTTGAACTACCAACCTTGGTTATCAGCAGAGTGCTTAACCTTTGTGCTACCAGGGCTCCTTGTGGGTAGGGTAGGTCTTGAATAACCACTGTATTGCACGGGAGATTTAAAAAAATCAAGTCACAGTGATCAAGTACCTACGACATACTAGGCACTTTGCCAGGTGCTGTTGAGGCCACAAAGAAGCAAACTCTCTCTTTTAAAGACAAGATTATGTTCTATTTATGGGAGAGCTGAGTTGGATGAAGAAAAGGGAAGAATAAAAATGAAACAGAATGAACTGGTTCCCAGACCTCACAATATGGAGTAGGATATAGGGGTGGATATGAAATGACCCTTGAATATCTTCTACAAGATTTTTCTGGAGAAAAAAAACCTCTTCATAGGAGTTTGTTTTCCTGTGATATGTCTCTTAATTGGAGATATTAAATTTCCATGCATTGGAAGTTCTAATAAATTAACTTTGGGCTAACTATAGTTTTACAGCAAATAAAAAGGCATGACTCCATCCTCTATTTTATATGACAGTTCATTAAGATTCTTTATCAGATAAAATTGGATACTTAGGCAATGAAGGTATTCCAGGCACACTACCATTTTCTATGAAAATATATTCTCAGGTACTATAATCACTTGAAAACTGCACATGTAGTACTATACTGCCATTAATTCTTAGCCAGTCATATCTCTATTATATCCCAGGACTCTATTATCTTGGTATATAATGACTCTATCGTGACTTTATTTTTTTACAATTTAGTTTTTTAAAAATTATGCATTCATAAAGAAATTATACTCCTAAAGATTTTGGAGGGAAATTATTTCCAACCACTTTCATATTTAGATTTGGCTTCTGTATCATCTCTTGTTACAAACTCACCTTAAAAATATTTCAATATATCTGTTTTGCTGTTTGATTCTTTTTAAAGGAAAACTGCCGTAATAAATACATTGTGACCATCATTTTAGCTTTGTCTTGAATATCTGCTTCAATTTACCTTTTTAATGTAATAACTGGGGACTAGGAGTCAGACTTGCATTTACGTTGGGTTTGCCACTTACTACTGGACGTGTCCTCACTCTCATGGGACCTCAGTTATACTTGTCTGTAAGATGAGGGATCGAACTAGAACATAGTGAAAGTTGTACTCCCTCTGAAATATTGCTTTTCTATATATTGATATTGAGCTGATTTCCCTTTTTAAAAATGGTTATCAATATGCCTACTAGTTTAACTATAATTTTTCAAAGGGTCTGTTCCTTTAACTTTTGAACAATTTGTGATTCGTGGAAAATTAGCTTACATGAATGTCCTTTTCCTCAAAGGCAAACATGGTTATGCAGAAGTGTGTGCATTTGCATGTTTAAATGGATCTGATTTATACTGCGCCAAGTACCATTACTGACAATAACGTTGGCTTTGAAATAAAATTACGACTTAGAAATATATGTGGCATATGTTCTACTCTAATTTAACAATATGCCTACGGGAAACTTTTTAAAATTCTACAAACCGTACAAAAATCTAAGAATTGTGTAAACTGCCTTACTGTTTTTTTTTTTTTCTGACATGGAAATAGTTTTCTATCACTCAACTTTTGAACATTAGTTTTAAATCTCATTTCATATTGTAGTAATAATAATGGTAATGGCAGTTCACATTTATAGAATTCTTACTAGATGTCAGACTATATGCCAAGTGTTTTATATGAATTTTCTCATTATTCTACTTTATAATCTCTATAACCAAGCTGCTTTGTGTAGCATGCACATAGGGAAAATCTTAATGCTCAGCTGGTATTTATTTTATACATATCTATATATACACAGAGAGAGATAGATGGCTGGCTGCCTGGGTGGTGCAAACAGTTAAGCACTTGGCTACTAACTGAAAGGTTGGTGGCTTGAGTCCACCCAGAAGCATCTCAGAAGAAAGGTTTGGAAATCTACTTCTGAAGGGTCACAGCCATTAACGACACTATGAAATGCAGTTCTATAGTTCTACTCTGATACGCATGGGATTTCCATGAGTCGGAATTGACTCAATGGCAACTGGCTTGATTTTTGGTATATATGCAGTTCGAATCCACCAGCTGCTCCTTGGAAGCCCTATGGGGAGTTCTAGTCTGTCCTATAAGGTTGCTATGACAACTCAATGGTAATGGGTATATATATGTGTTTGTATATATATGTATGTGTGTGTATATATATATTATATACATATATATAAACACACTCTTAAGAGGAAACAAGAACAGAGTCTTTAAAAAAATAACCACCCTGAAGTCATGGACAGATTTAGCAAATTCTTTTTATTTACATAGAAATGTGTACACATACTTTCTCTGTACACAGAAAATTCTAAGTATATATACATATATGGTTCCCACATACTGTACAATAAATAGTATTTTAATTTTGTTTCTAGATGAAAATAAAAAGATGTCTCAAAATACTACTCACCAACCACAAAATTACAAAAGCACCTGATGAACTCAGAGCAAAAACTTCAAGCCTTACTACCACACACTAAGCCTAGTACAATTTATACAAAAAGACAAAATTGAACACTGTGCAGATATCACCAGTAGAAGGAAAGGAATGGAGACATAAAATAGAAAATAGAGCTGTTGGCTTTTTGAACAATGTGGTAAGTTCATTTCTGTTGGTTAGGACTCGTCTTTAGTCCTAGATGTAATGTTTTACCTTACTCTGATATTTTATAAAGGAGGGGAACAAGTGAACATCTATTGTAAAAAGAGGAACTATTCCATGAGTCTTCAGAGTTCTAGAAGCCTTTTTAATTGGTCAACCAGAACTTTCTTCTGTGTTAATCAGATGATCATCTAGTTCTGTGATACAGGATTACTGCTCACTACCTCAGAGAAGATGACAAGGTCACAGATTGGAAAGTAACGTATTATTTGGAAGTAACCTCAAAAGTCTGACTGAGTCGTGTATCTGAGTTATCAGCACTTAATAATCACTAAACTTTAAATATAACTCTTTATTTCCACATACAGTTTGACCCTTCATTTAAATAATTAACTAAATCTAAGGAAAACTTGGAGTCATAGGTGGTACAAACCATTAAAGCGCTAACAAAGGTTGGAGGTTAGAACTCACCCAGAGAGGACTTGGAAGAAAGAGTTGGTGATCTACTTCCAAAAAGTCAGCCATTGAAAACCCTACTGGAGCACTGTTCTACTCTGACACCCATGGGGTCGACGTGAGTCGGAATCAACTCGATGATAACTGGTTTTAAGGAAAACTTAATTTGGGAGGCTAGAAACAATGAATCCATAATTCTAGAATTTCCTCCTGACTCTTCCAATTTTTTCCCATTCTAACCTAGCAAATAATATTTTTTCCTTGATTTCAGAGTGGTCCTACACATGTATATGAAATTATAAGATCAAACAAAAAGAATGAGGTTATACACTGTCGGGTGAATAGAGAAAAAGGTATAGTGTTTTTGATAATCTCGCAGCATTATATTTGGCAATTGAGCTAAAAAATAGTCCAAAAACAGTTTGACTCATAATCTTCATTATTATTGAACTGATTTATAATACAGCCAGATTTGTTCTCCCAATACAAGTCACCAATTCCACTGTCATTGCTATGCCAGTATTATTACTCAGGTAAGAAATCATGAAGACGGTGACCAACACAAGGCTGAGTGCTTCAATCAGTCCACCCAACGCTACCTCAAATAATAATGCATTTACTTCCACTGTGGCACCGTAACGTCACACACAAGTTTTGAAACAAGTTTTATCCTTTCATCTCTGTTATCAATAACAGCACAGATGTGGGGAAAAAGACGGCAATCAAAGAAGAATTCAATGTGAAAAACATGATTCATCTATCAAATACAATCTTTTCAGTTACTTTTCTGAATCCGCTATTTTTAAAATAATCTTCCAAAACACATTTCAAAGGCAGGCTCATTTCAAGAGCACTGTTTATCACATGCATAATTGGGTTCCTTCTTGTCACATGTTGCTGCCATTAATGCTTCTTTTAGAGAAACAATATTTCTAGAACTTAGTCATCTTACATGAAAGTGATGGTTTCATAAGCAGTTTGACTCTTTAGATTAAGGTACTTAAGATTGAAACAAACACATTTCACACTTAAATACGTTTCTGGTTTTTAAATTTGAAAATGTAATAGGGGAACTAAGGTTCACTGCCAGAAACAAAAGGGATCCTTTCCCCTGAAGAGCTGGGCTTGATTTTTAGGCATTCTAACTATATACACACGTGCCTTCTTTCCATCACTGTGTAAAGAGTCAGCCAGAAGATAAGTACGGAGTCTCACTATGGTAATTGTAGTCAGGACAGACCTTTTGCACAAGTTTATAATCAACACTGTAAAAGGCAATGTAAATACAAATGACCTTGAAGGGCTTGGAGCACAACCAAGAGACGTGACTCTGAGTCTGCTCCTGGTAGCAGATCTTCGAAGGGTCAAAGTTGCACAGGGCAGTCTTCTTCGCCCGATCTGTTTTTTCATACTCAATGCGACAATTGAAAGATTTGGATTCCTTGGTCTCCAAGGTAGACTGGGGGGAAACTTCAAATTCCACCACTTTGGAAGGGGGTACCAAGCTCACTGAAACGTTGCCCAGGCCTGTTGAATTATGTCGAAAATAAACACTGAAAGTTCCATTTCCATGGTCGACAATTTTCCCCGTGATGAGGAGGTTGAGTTTGACAGTTTTAATGTTGGAATGAAAGTCACCCCATCCAAACATTTTCTTAAATTTTCCAGTTTTCACTATTGGCCTCCGTTTAGTTCTTGCCAGTGGTTCCTGAACTTCTGTGATATTGGCCAACCAGTCCCAGAAGTTTTCCATGCTGTCTGCATAGGCCAGTTGACCAGGCTTGGGCACAGGAGACTGTTTAACAAACAGGCGCAGGGGATTGATGATCCTTGAGTGCACCACGTTTCCAACCAATGTCCCTGGGGCATCTTTGTCTTCCCAATCCAGCCCCTCTGTGGCATGCACCACGTTTTTACTGTCACAAAATAGCTGTTTGAAAAGAAAAAAAAGAGAAATAAACTTCAGGTTAGGCTTTGTGTGCACACATACTGCAGTCAAAGCACAAGCGAAATTATCCCAACATTACCTAGATTCTGCTTAAATAGCATTTCACACACACAGCTAGGCTCAACAGTGTGACAAGATGGGTGCTATTTCAAGCAACGTAGATCAGTGAGTACATACATTAAAATGATGTGATTAAGAAGAGAGTACTTTGTTTTAATGGCTGATGTGATTTTAGTCAGTTTCCCAATCTTTATAAATTTAGTTTTCCAGATTGGAGAAAGGAGGATATTTCTGCCTCTCATTTGTTAGAATCATTAAATTTGTAAGTGCCCCCACCCCCACTGGGCTGGTAGAAAACAACTCATTCCAGAATGCTGAGGGTTTCTACCAAGGAGCTAAAAACTATTTAGTCATGAAACATTGATAAATCTCTTTTAAATATATTTATAAATATTAAGGATCTAACTGTATTCAAAGGCTCATGTCATATAATTTCATTTATGTTGATATAATTCCATCTCAAACTCTGTAATGAAAAAGGCATATGTATAGTATTAGAAAGTTCTGCAAAAGTTTTAGTTGAAAGCATATAAAATATAATTGTCAAATTTTTAAATTTAGCTGACATTATAAAAGCAGAAATAAATGTTTAAAAATATATTCACAATGAATAGATTGCATATAATTTAGTGAATTTTATCACAACTGAGTTATACTCTGAATTGCTAAGAAAGAATGATGAAAAAAAGAAAGAATTCTGTGCATAGGTTGTATGGATTCCACAGTATTTTTGTTCAAATCATAGACACAGAAACACTCACTTTATTTGCATTTGATTTTTCTTTTTGTTTTCTTTGTAATGTAAAAGTCTACATGATTTTTCAAAACCATTTCATTAAGTCCATATGGATTATGAGGGACAGAATCACTACATATATGAAACTGTTGCTTTGGCTGAATACTTATGGATGAGTCATAAAGTCTGGAAAATAGAAGTTTCTAGTGGAAACACTGAGAGGCTACCTTTGATGGCATAAACCACTCTTGAATGATTCTACAGAAAATTGCCAGCATGATGAAAAGGATGAGGAAAGAAGTGATGTTTAAGTTTATGGACTTTTTCTCCAGCCCTTTCCAACTAGGCAAAACAAACAAACAAACAAAAACCTGTTGCCGTTGAGTCAATTCCAACTCATAGTGACCCTATAGGACAGAGTAGAACTGCCCCATAGGATTTCCAAGTTGTGGCTGGTGCATTCCAACTGCCAACCTTTTGGTTAACAGCCAAGCTCTTAACCACTGTGCCACCAGGGCTCCTGGCAAAGAACCTGGTAAAATCTGTTTCAGATTATTACACAAATCCAATTTGGCAAAAAAAAGAAAGAAAGAAAGAAAGAAAAACAAAACAAAATGAGCTTGGATTATAAATATTGCACTCTTAAATATATTTGTCGTTGTTAGGTGCTGTCGAGTTGGTTCTGACTCATAGTGACCCTATGTACAATATAAGGAAACACTGCCTGCTCCTGTGCCGTCCTCAGAATCATTGCTATGTTTAAGCCCACTGTTGCAGCCACTGTGTCAGTACGTGACGTTAAGGGTCTTCCTCTGTTTTGATGACCCTCTACTTTATCAAGCATGATGTCCTTCTCCAGGGACTGATCCATCCTGATAACATGTCCAAAGTAGGTGAGACGAAGTCTCACCATCCTTGCTTCTAAGGAGCATTCTGGCTGTGCTTTTTCCAAGACAGACTTGTTTGGTCTTCCGGTAGTCCATGGTATAGTCAATATTCTTAGCCAACACCATAATTCAAATGCGTCAATTCTTCTTCCATCTTCCTTATTCATTGTCCAGCTTTCACATGCATATGAGGCGAATGAAAATACCATGGCTTGAGTCAGACACACCTTAGTTCTCAAAGTGACATCTTTGCTTTTTAACACTTTAGAGAGGTCTTTTGCAGCAGATTTGTCCAATGCAATGCATTGTTTGATTTCTTGACCACTGCTTCCATGGGTGTTGATTGTGGATCCAAGTAAAACGAAATCTTTGACAATTTCAATATTTTCTTCAGCACCACCCCAGGAGGTACCAGAAGCATCTACGACCAGAAATTCCTGATGGAGTGTCGGAAATCACCTGTGGCCAAAATACCCCCCCAGGACCTGCCCACCATTCCCAGGGTCACCAGCCCTGGCAGTGAGGAGCCCCCCATGGAAGACAAGCAGAGCCACCAACACAACAGTCCAGAAGACAAGGTGGCGTGTGGTGAAGAGTCACAGTTTGTGATAGACATTTAAAGGACCAGCCATTGGAGTGAGCAATGCCTATGGGCCCCTCAGGCCCTTCTTGAGGGGCCCTTCTTGGGAGAAGAACCACCCAGCCAGGTCTTATGAATGTTATCACCCTGGACAGGCATAGGGTGTGTGGGGTTGGCCATCTCAGCTCTCTCCTCTCTCACTCAAGGCACTTGCTCCCCCTTCCCCTTTGTGAGCACCAGCAGATATCTCCATGTGCCTCTGTGGATGCAGGAGCTGCCACTTCAAGAGGAGTGACTCTCGTGAGCACACCCCTGCAGGGACCAGAGGTGGACAAGGAGGAGCCCTTATGAAGGATGGTCTTGTTCTTTCAGTCGGATCTTCTGGGGGTGCCCCTTCCTTAGGTTGGTATGCAGTGGGAAAGAATCCCTAGCCCTTCTTTGCCAGAGAGGAAATAAAAGCCACTTTCGCCCTGCGGCCAAGAGTTGGGCCCTGTCTGAAAAAACTTACTATGAGTCAGAACCAACCTGATGGCACCTAACAAAAACAACAACAATAACAATCATGATGTTGCTTATTGATCCAGTTGTGAGGATTTTTGTTTTCTTTATGGTGACATGTAATCCATACTGAAGGCTGTGGTCTTTGATCTTTATCAGTAGGTGCTTCAAGTCTTCTTCACTTTCAGCAAGCAAGGTTGTGTCATCTGCATATCGAAGGTTGTTAATGAGTCTTCCTCTGGTCCTGATGCTGTATTCTTCTCCATAGTCCGGCTTCTTGGATTATTTGCTCAGCATACAGACTGAAGAAGTATGGCGAAACTTATAAACCTGACACACATCTTTCCTGCTTTTAAACCACGCAATGTCCCCTTGTTCTGTTTGAATGACCGCCTCTTGGTCTATGTAAAGGTTCTGCATGAGCACAATTAACTGTTCAGAAATTACCAATCTTCACAATGTTATCAATAATTTGTTATGATCCACGCAGTCAAATGCCTTTGAAATAAAACACAGGTAAACATCTTTCTGGTATTCTCTGCTTTCAGCCAAGATCCATCTGACATCTGCAATTCTATCCCTTGTTTGACGTCCTCTTCTGAATCTTGCTTGAATTTCTGGTGGTTTCCTGTACTGCTGCAACCATTTTTTAATTATCTTCAGGAGAATTTTACTTGCACATGATATTAATCTATTGTTCAATAATGTCCGTATTCTGTTGGATCACCTTTCTTTGAAATGGGCACAAATACGGATCTCTTCCAGTCGGTTGGCCAGGTAGCTGTCCTCCAAATTTCTTGGCATACACGAGTGAGCGCTTCTAGCATTGCATCCGTTTGTAGAAACATCTCAATGGTATTCCTGGGCCTTCAATTCCTGGGGCCTTGTTTTGCGCCAGTGCCTTCAGTGCAGCTTGGACTTCTTCATTCAATACCATCACTTCTTGATCATATGCTACCTCCTAAAATGGTTGAACATCAACTAATTCTTTTTGGTATAGTGACTCTATGTATTCCTTCTATCTTCTTTTGATGCCTCCTGGCGTAGTGCAATATTTTGCCCATAGAATCCTTCAGTATTGCAACTTGAGGCTTGAATTTTTTCTTCAGTTCTTTCAGCATGAGAAATGCTGAGCATGTTGCTTCTCTTTCAGTTTTCTGTCTCCAGGCCTTTGCACATTTCATTATAATACTTTACTTGGTCTTCCCAAGGTGCCCTTTGAAATCTTCTGTTCAGTTCTTTTATTTCATTATTTTATATTCATTTATTTCATTAGCTACTCTACATTTAAGACCAAGTTTCAGAGTCTCTTCTGACATCCATTTTGGTCTTTTCTTTCTTTCCTGTCTTTTTAATGACCTTTTGCTTTCTCCATGTATGGTGTCTTTGATGTCATCCCACAACTCGTCTGGTCTTCAGTCATTAGTGTTAAATGTATTCTTGAGATGGTCTCTAAACTTTGGTGGGATATACTCAAGGTTGTACTTTGGCTCTCATGAACTAATTTTAATTTTCTTCAGCTTCAACTTGAACTTGCATATGAGCAATTGGATGGTATGTTCTGTAGTCAGCCCCTGGCCTTCTTCTCACTGATGATATTGAGCTTCTCCATTGTTTCTTTCCACAAATGTAGCCAATAATATTCTTGTGTGTTCCATCTGGTGAGGTCCACACGTATAAGTCGCTGTTTCTGTTGTTTAAAAAAACGCATTTCCAATGAATAGGCTGTTGGTCTTGCAAAATCCTATCACGTGATCATTCAATCTCCTGCATCATTTCTAATACCAAGGCCGTATTTTCTAAGCATTGATTCTTTCCAAATTTTACATTCCAATCACCAGTAATTACCAATGCATCTTGATTGCATATTTGATCAATTTCAGACTGGAAAAGCCAGGAGAAATCTTCAATTTTTTCATCTTTGGCATTAGTGCTTGGTGCGTAAATTTGAATAACAGTTGTATTAACTTGTCTTCCTTGTAAACCAGAAAACCAAACCCATTGCCATCAAGTTGATTCCAACTTATAGTGAGCCCAAAGGACAGAGTAGAACCACCCCATAGGGTTTCCAAGGAGGAGCTGGTGGATTTGAACTGCCAACCTTTTGGTTAGCAGCCTGAGCGCTTAACCACTGTGCCACCAGAGCTCCTATTTTCCTTGCAGGCATATGGATATTACCCTACCACTGACAGTATTGTATTTCAGGATAGATCTTG